CTCTCTCTCTCTCTCTCTCTCTCTCTCTCTCTCTCTCTCTCTCTCTCTCTCTCGCTCTCGATTTTGAAATACATTTGTTGGTGCGCGCCGCGGATGTCCCGGTCGAATACGATGGCGCGTACGAAAATGAAGAAAAGAAAAATGATACGCATCTAGAAGAGTTCGATATATCACCTAAGTAACTAAATACTTCCAAGGTATTCACCTCAATGTCACGATGCTCGGATGATATAATTGTATATAATACAATTAGGAAAGACGTACCTCGATTAATGTTCGATGCGAATACAACCATAATAATAATACATGGAAACTTCGTTCTACACATAAACTCAAGTCTCCCTCACGTAGTTCGTTTGTTTCTTTCTTTTTTGTTTTTCTTTTCTTCCTGACGGTGCTAAAACGAAGATATTACATATCGTAACGATGGTTCAAAGTCATAAGAAATCTAGCGCGAGTTTTATTTCTTTTTCACGTCTCTAAACGACAAGACAGGCACTTTATAGTGTCACAAAATGCTCCTACGTCTGAACCCCTTGTTTTAAAGTTTCATCGATCGTCCGTTCGTTCATTCTGTTTTCCCTTCTCTCTGTCTCTATTTCTTTTGTTCCGCAAGACACGTTAAAGACAGTTGCGTTGGACTTACAGCGAAGAACACACATGACTGGACAAACGTTGTCCTCGGGAAAGATATTCTTATTAACTAAGTAGTAAACCTCGGTAATAAGTTTGACGTAATAAGTCCTAACGTGTCTCTTTTCATAATTTTTTTTTTACTTTTTGTTTTCTAATTGCGCAAATGAGATAAAATACTCATCTTTTCATTATGAAATTCTAAGTCAGCGGCTTTTAAACGAACCTCGCAAAACAATCGTTGATGCAACCGGCTATAGATGCACGTGTGAATCAATCAATCTCTCTAAGTCGGTCGTCGATACAATGTCGAAGTTCCGATATTTTGTACACTAGGAATCAACCAAGATGATTAATGTTTGTAATGCAAGGAGACGTAATAGGATAACGGATTAGATGCTGAGCGATCGCGCGCGGGACGCGATTTTTGAGAACATTTAAAACAAGTTAGGCTACTGCTTACACGTCTATCGTCGCTCTGACAGACCGAAACACTGAAAACATATTGCTCCGCTCCCCGCAACCTTCTTCAAAAAATATCAGTCCAATACGAAGACCAATTTCTTTTTCTCTGTCCGCAATTTCTCGTCAAACAATAATAAATGTATTAGAATAGGTTCTATGTACTTGTTCACATTTGTTTGTGGTATTATCTAGTAAAATTTTCGCTATAAATAATATGCGTCTGTTTCTAACTCCGCGATCCCACAGATTTCCACATTTTTCCTTCTTTCCTTCTTTTTTTTTTAAGAGTTAATAATACTAGTTTTATATTTTTAGAAAATAACTGACAATCACTTGTGTTTCCTCGATGACAATCCAAAATTGCGGCAGGGGCTCATCAAGCTACAGCGCACACGGTACGATATAAGTAAAGTACGGTTTTCTATTTCCTCTTTAATTTCTCTCGCAGACTAAATTAAAACGTCGTGGAGTCCATTGCACTCAATCGTAATTGGACTTATCGAGGAAAACAAGGTTTTCTGCCATCAGATCGCTCGTAAAACGATCTGATTTAACTCTGATTTAACTTTGTTCGCTCGCAACATGCGAGAATCGAGCATTTTTAAAAACTTTGCAACTCGCTTCTCGATACTTCGTAACGGTATCGAATAAGTTTTATCTATCTATGGCCTCTCTCTCTCTCTCTCTCTCTCTCTCTTTCTTTCTTTCTTTCTTTCTTTCTTTCTTTCTCTCTTTCTCTCTGCATACATAATTTTTATATGCATACGTTTGTGTACACGTATATTGTATACATACAATATACACATACGTACGCATACATGCATACATACATATGCATATACATACATCACTATGCACATGTACCTGCGTATGTATATATACATTTATATAATATATGTTTATTCATTATTTGTTATATATTATTAAATTATTGTGCCGTTTCCGTTTTGGGAGGGTGATTCATTATTTCCTTTTCCTTTTTTTTCCATTTTTTCATCGTTCATATAACCATTCTTACACAGTCAGGTTTTATGACTATAACCTAACACACCACTGTCTTAATTACCTTTGGCAGCGTCCTTCGCCGCCATTATTAAAGGTGTTAACGAAGCCAGTGGCCTGGCTAAACCCAGAAAAGCATGCTGCAATTCAATTTAAACACGTATTTCCAATTAATTTTGGAACACACGCGAAAGAGATACGTGTATATACGCGCGCGAAGAGCATTGATTCCTTTTGTATCAACAGTAATCATATCTCTTACCTGTAATAGGTCGGAAGCTCCGGATCGTTTCTCCACTTCAACCTCTAGACATCGATCTAGGAAATCTTGAAATAAAGGCGACAACTTTTCCTTCTCCTTGATCTCCGGCTTGCCATTCGTTGCGATCAAATATAACGCTCTCAGCGGATTCTCATTTAGATACGGTGGTTCTCCCTCTATCATTTCAATTGCCATTATTCCCAACGACCATATATCGACCTGTCATATCCGAGGGCAATTTTGATGATTAAACATTAACAGTGCGATTCGCGATATAGCTTTCGCATTTATAATAATCAGACATTTACCTACCTTAGGTCCATATTGTTTTCGCGTTACCACCTCCGGCGCCATCCAATATGGTGTACCGACCATGGTCGTCCGTTTGTTCTGTTCCGGCGAGATTTGCGCACAAAAACCGAAATCCGTCAGCTTCACTCCGCCGTCAAGACCGAGCAAGATATTGTCGGACTTAATATCCCTGTGTATAACTTGATTACAATGAAGGAACTCCAGCGCCTGCAGAACTTCTCTGCACACCGCGGCAATTTGACCTTCGTCCATACAAGTCTCAGTCACAACATCGGTCAAACTGCCACCTGGCAAATATTCCATGACTACCCACAGTTCTTCCCCTACTAAATAACTATCCAAGTAATTTACAACGTTCGGATGCTTGTTCTCCCGCATCACTAGAATCTCGTTTATTATAAGCTCTTTTTTTGGTTGCTGCGACAGATTCATTTGTTTTATCGCAACCTCCATGCCAGTGGACGTTTCTATTGCCGTATACACCGTCCCCGAGGCACTGTAAGGCCAATTGTCAATGAATACGGTGACACATGTAATCACAAACGTTTAGGCACAAGAAACATGCTCTTATTGTCGATTCAGTTGCTTTGTATCTTACCCTTGTCCTATTTTCTCCATTTTAGTGTACTTTCTATTAGGATCTCCCACGCTCACGATTGTTCTAAGTTTCTCTAATATCTCGTCGTCTGACATCTTCTTCTTCCTAGCTTTATCACCTTGCGCGGGCCGTGTCTGATCGGTCGTCGTTGACGTCGGTGTCGCTTGATTCTTATTTCTATCTAATTGAGACTGGTGTTGTTGCTGCTGTTGCATGCCGTTTCGTTGCGGTGAGCCCAGCGCAGTCGTTAACGGAGGCGGTGGTTCCTCTTCTATGGGTTTCGTATACTGCACGATGAAAATAAAGTATTAAAAATTAATACAATAATTTATATATAAAATGTCGCGCAGATATAAAAATAATTAAACATACATTTTCAACCGCGTGTACGTAGACTCAGGCGCACGAAAGAAAAACTTACGATTGACTTCGTGCGTTCCGGTCGAGCGGAGATGGGCGGAGGCGGCGGCTCGTCCTCCTGCTCCGAGCTGGTTGCACACGCGTCCGTTGGTGTGCTACTCGGACTACTGCTGCTCAGCCTGCAACGTTGTCGTTTCTCAGAAAATATTTAGGCTACGTGGTAAGCACGATGTAGAAAAGTGTAAAAGACTCACCTGCTCAACGATTGCTGAGAATGCGAGCTGCCAGACGCTTGGGACATTGCCTGCCCGCGAATATTCCCCACCCCCGTATTGATACCTATTCCCATACTTCGAGGACTACTCGCCCTTTCGATTGGTGCTGGAAATGTACAGTTTTATTGTTAATGTGACAATGAAAGTGGATCAATTCCGTGTATGTACACGAGTTGCTCCAATATCTGTACTTACCAACTACCCCGACCATCTTAGTCGTAGTCATGTATTTAGAACCTTTCGCTTCTTTACTGCTACTATCGTACCAATTTAATACGTCCAAAACAGCCTGTGGATTCTTCTTCTGCTCTTGTTTACTGATATTGCTAGACATAAGCAGTCTCGCCCACGCTTCCGGCATACCCTAGGAAAGAAACGAACGTCGTGAAGAAACATGCATTATCGCGCTTGTACAATAAAAGACAAATGGTAAATAATAGGAGATTCTGTTGAGTATAATGCTAATATGTCTAAAATGCACCTATTACTAAACCTAGGTTCATCAATAAGCATGCATCAAGTGTGATATGTACCAAAATAAAAATTGGGAAACATGTTTGTATCATTTATTAGTAAGTATTAGGAAATTGCCATCGTGACATAATTAAATCTATAGTTATTTAATCGTTTTGATTAGAGAAGATTGTTTAAAAGTCAGGACAATTGTATTTGGTATAATTGTCTTCTACTGTTATTTTGTACATGTAATATCACATACACATTCTAAATATAAATTTAAAAACACATTAAAGAGCATTATCTTTATGTTTTTTTATGTGTTTTTTTAATGTTTTTAGAAGATTTAATAAAGTCACCATTTCCATGAAAATATTATTTAAATACATGCACAGTTCCAGTTTTGGGTTAAACACTTTTCATACGATATTCCGCGAAATTTCATCGATTTAAATAACCCATCAATTCAATCGTGTATGTCAAAAATCATTCTGTAAGATAAAAAATAAGATATTGTATGCAACGTCGACTAAAGCTTATATTAATCTACAAAAGCGACAATCTTATAAATTCTCTAATGTTGGTATTCCAACGGAAAATAACGACACTCAGATCTTGTAAACCGCAACGAAAAGAAAGTGTCAAACCACGTGGTGTATGTACAACGTAAAGGGTACAGGCAAACTAATTCGTATTAATTTACTTACTTTCAGTGGCAGCTTGAAAGAAATACGTGTTCTGTTAGTTTATCATGTGAAAATAATAGATATAAGAAGCATCGGACAAATCACCAAATTACCAAAGTACCCTTTCTTAGAATATCTGTATCTATATCTACATATAGATATAGATATATCACGCATATCTATATTTATATATATACATATATATATGTATATATATATATATATATATATATATATATATATATATATATATATATATATGTATGTATGTATGTATGTATGTATGTATGAGTTACAATATCCTATATTCCATTTCGATCAGATACGGAAGATCCATGTGAACCACACGACAACGTATGACGAATAGTAAAACGATGGTAAAACGATATACTAAGAGTGGTCTATGGTATAATATGTAAAATTTCCTTTTCTCCCCGTCTCCATCTCCCATAGATAATCCGCACCGTGATACAACAGCGAAGCGGTAAGCGAGTGCATTTTGAACAATATAGTGTAGAGAGGCGACTGAGACTGTGCGAATTGCGCGGATCGAAAACCTACCGTAAATTCACCGGTCACAGCGTCGAATCCCACGTGTACAGTGTGTTCGAAATTCGTAGGGTAACTGATGTTGGGCTTGTCCTTGTTCTCCTTCACCTTCATCTTGCCCTTCAATGTCTTTTTCTTACGTTCATCAGAGTCTGGTTCCTTAGGCAGCGGACGCATGTCCACTGGTAAATTAGGCGCAGATTCACCCCTGAAAATAACAGTTTATCACTACATGATCATATGCATATGCAATACATTCTATGTGCGTACATGAATTTGGTGTATCTTGCAATCTTTTGATATTCTACTGTCTCAGGAATAATGATGGATATTTCATTACAGAAATAAATGTTGACATTGGTGATACTTTTATTATCATAAGCACTACAAAATATACATTTCTGTACATATATATATATATATATATATATATATATATATATATATATATATATATCTTGATGATGCTTAGTCTCAAATATCTGTTAATGACAATACTGAAATTATGTTTAGATATCTTTGATAATGCATCTTTATGATAAAAAGTTACCGTATCTGGACTCAGAAATATTATTTTTAACAATCACTCTCTCTTTCTCTCTAACTTAACATATCTTTAATTAATTTGAAAGAACATATATAGACTGTTGCATATAACATAAAAAGCAGTGCACATGAAAATTATGGCTATATTATGAAGCATTTACATGTATATTTATACATTGATTAACTATATAAATTTGCAATACTTATGCAAGTTATAAAGCACAAATGGCGTTAATTTTATTATACATATATTGTATATTAAAATCTCTTTAATATCTACACTGTTGTAAGCAAACAAATTTCTCACATATATAAAAAATCTTTGAAGCAATTACATATAATATACTACATGTAAGTTCACTGACAAATGAACTTCAGGAAAATTAACGCAACATCAAGTAGCACTTTGCAGGATCTCTTACTCTGCAATGAATCACTTGTGAATGCGCATACCAGATAATAACATGAAGCGTACCTGTTTGATGTCAATCGAACAGGAGGTGCAGGGGGTTTGTCTTCCTCATCTGACATGTTGTATCCGCTTCTGTTTCTTTGTTGCCAGTCTATCCTCCGTTGCTGCGTCTCTATGCCTTCAAATCGAACCCACGTTTCGTGTTAACGGGTGTATATATCTATATTTATACACGCCTCGTCGTCATGATTTTCACTTTCAGTTGCATGAGAAAATTTTCTTATGAAGTACGAGATCCCCAGTTAAAGTCCGCTAGCGGCGACAGCGACGGCGACGACGACGATGATGATGATGACGTTGTTCACGAGTTCCCAATCCCAATAACACGAATTCGTCGAAAGGCACACCCGGTAAGATAAGTAGGTAGATAGCGGAGGTCCCCTCACCGCACCGTAAGGACACCCCTCGTCACAGGATCCCCGGTACCGGTTGTGGTGCGCGAACTTCAACGAACGGACGAGTCATGGCTGACCGGCGGTGAGCGGTATCGGCGATTAGAGGGATTGGAGCGACTTGGAGGCTCCCTCGTGGGTGTCGCTTCCCTTCCGGCTGTCGGCGCCAAGAGACGCTGATCGCTACTTTTCTCGCTCGATCACTGGGGTGGTTGGCTGTCTGCCGTCGGCGGCGTCCAGCCACGACACACGGGTCAATGTCGCGGTGAGCACACTAGGGCGCACTCGAGGACGGCGAGGAGAGAGCGTTTCTGAAGCGTGATTCACGCACGGGTGCAGGCACCCCGTCGCATCCTCGAATCTTTCGCCTCGTCCTCCTCTCTCTCCCTCTTTCTCTCTCTCTGTCTCTCACTTTTTACTTTCTTTCTCACTCCCTCTCTGTCACTCGCTCGCGCTTGCGTGCGTTCATAGCTTTCTCTCTTGCCCTCTCACTCACTCATACTCACTCTCTTTCTCTCTCTCTTTCCTTCACTTCTCTCTCTCTCTCTCTCTCAACGTCGCGGCGACTATAATCGCGCTTCTCATCGCGCGCTCCCGCGCACTTACCAGCACTTACTTTCGCACTCGCGAACGAAAAAGTGTATGCAACCCACAGTGCATATAACGGCGGAACATATATAGCGCCCAGTGGCGGATTTAGATCCATCGCGACCCTGCACTGCAACATGAGCGGTGCGTCGCTCCCATTCTTCGTGATATGACAGCAGACATTAAAAAAGTATTCTTTTCTTTTAAGGTAGCGCGAGACTGCGAATTTCGGCTTATTTTGTACATATATATACCTATGGATATATATATGTAATTCGGCTGCGGTGTGCACAAATTCGTTTGCACATTTGTATGATACTTTCTCCTTATTCTTCAGATGCCTTTTATCGCACCTTCTGCTACCCCTTTTCTTTTTCTTTCACCTACTCTTCTTGATCGCTATCACCCCGTCAAGGTTGGGTTCTTTGCGACTTAGAGGGGCAGGAGAGGGACAACGGTGCGACAGCTTTCGGTCGCTGTTCTTAATGTTCACATCTGTGATTGACGCCGTACTCAACTAATTAACGCGAGCATATCTTCATCGTCGTCGTGCGAACATCACTCACGAAGAGGTTGTCCTGGCGACAATATCGATAACGAGACAGAATCAAATGTTCTCGATTTATCTCGCGACTTTTTTTTTATCTCTCTGCACACGCTCTAATAAGAAAGTTCACGATTCGCCATCACCACTCTACGTCAGCCTCCACCGTCGGTACTTCTTCCCGAGATGAGAATGCGCGAATCTCTAATATATTATCAGTTTTTTTTGTCTAGACTGAGTTATAGTTTTTCTGTACTTAAAACGAAACGAGTATACATTTTAAGATTTACTGAAAAGGGAAGAAAGAAGAAAAACAATGAAATAATAAATAAGCTCCCTTAAAGCCGTTGCACATAAATTATTGTAACCACAACGTGAACGAGGCTTAAACTAACGAACCAATCAAAATACTGTTTTAGGTTTGAATTAGAGATGCCCAATTCTGAATCGATTTGATTCTTTCCCCAAAAATAGGCTTATTCGTGTTGTTTGCATTCTTCGCACTTTTCGTATTTAAAACCAGACAAAAGTATATTGGAATGTTTGGAAGAAGCAAAAGCAAGATAACTAACTCGATTGTTTCTTCCAAGCGTCTGATCAGGCATCCATCTCTTTTTGAAAGCGAAAAGTATGAAACATGCAAGCAGCACGAACAACCCTTTTTCCCTAAATTTGTTAGGAAAAGAATCGAATCAATTAAAAATCGGGCATCTCTAGTTTGAATACAAGCTGCCATAAAACTAGCATTATTATACCTAAAATCACCAAAAGTTTTTGATTAAACGCATCGTATCTATGTATTCATGCACTATGGTTGTTAACTTTTTAAGAAAATAATAATAATGTCTCACATATTATTTTCTTTTTCAATATATAATTTTATATTTTGTTACAAACAGTCTGTTTGAGGGAAAATTATTTGAATATATTGTTCAAATAATCGACAATTACTAAGTGCGTTCGAAAACGTCACCCGCGGCACTCCCTGCGTTGGAATGAAAAAGATACGAAAGCGAAATAAAGAAAGAAGAAGAGCGTTCGAATGACATTTCTGAACGCACCCACTATGTATATAATCGAAAAATACTAGTGACCCTAGGTTTAATAACTGCAAGGTTGTTATGCCGGCAGTGAATTATGTCATTGGTATCGGAATACATCTATATATGAAATATATACGAAAATTTATCCAGAGCTGACGGTCTTTATTTTTATCTCGTCATTGTTTATAGTCGTTGATTAATCACTGCACGAGTCACGCGTGTCATTTGATGTTATTCTCTAGCTTTACCTTGTTTAGCACAAGTGTCGTAATGATGAGACTTGTAATGAAAAGCTGTAGACGCTAAACTTAACCTTTATTGCCAAAAACTACTGGTTAATAAGAGAAGTATAACGTAAGTATTAGTGCAATAGCATTGAATAAGTTCAAACATGAATTTAATATAGTATTTTGTCATATTTATACCAATTGGTAGTTTTTCCAATAAGTTAGCGTTCTTTGAAGTGTCACAGCAAGACATTTATAACTTGTATAACGTAGATATGAAAAAGATATGTAATAATCTGTTAAACTTATAAAATATATTATCTTAATTATACTTAGAGACAATATTGTGATTAATGAGTTGCTATTATTCTTACTAATAAGAGAAATTGTAGTTTAATATATAAAAATTTGATGAAACATCCGATTATTGTTGCTAAAGTACATTACTGCCTTTTTCCTTTTTACATCTTTTTCTGTATATTTAATTGATGAAATAAAGAGATGAGATTTCACTCACATTTAAAATACATAAAAAGATAAATTTGAATAAAGATTTGAAGAATTACAATGGCTTACTGTGATATAATTATCTAACCAGTTCTACTATTAATTGATTAAGACTCGAACATTACTTTCTGTAACAAACTATCTATGACTACTCTTACAAATTATTATTATTATTACTGGCAGATTATGGACTTGGAGTTTGATGAAATATCAGATATAATAAAAGTTAGAAGCTATGAGGAAATTTTAGGGCAAAAGCAAGATGAAGAAGGATTTGAAACTGCAACTACAACTGAACAAGTATGTCTCTGCATGAAAATACAAACATATTTTATTTTGATAGATTACTTATTTTTATATTAATATTTTTATTTATATATTTATATTAATATACATATTCAATTTATAATGTTAATATTATAATATCATATTATAATAATGTAATATTATAATGTCAAAATTCATATGACTAATGTTTTAATCCAAATCTTTTCAGAATCGTATTGAAAGCGATGTGCTTACATTATATCAATTATGTAAAGAACCAACTTTAATTAAACAAAGGCATATTAGTTTCTTAAAGAGATCAATCAATAATTTAAGTGAAGCTTATGAGGTATTTATTTCTTACTTAATGTATATAAAGAAAATATATAATTTTAAAATATATGATTTATATTGTACTGCAAAATATATTTTTACTCTATATGCAGTAAAATTCAAGATATCACAATAATGTATTTCTTGAGCGTTTATAATGATTATAGTGTTTGGACAGCAGTAAACCTTGGCTGTGTTACTGGATATTACACTCACTTGAAATATTAGGAGAACGTCTGGAGGATGCAGAATATTCCAAGATAGCAGGTTTTCTAGCTAAGTGTCAATCACCAGAAGGTGGTTTTGGAGGTGGCCCAGGACAGTATCCTCATTTAGCCTCTACATACGCTGCTGTAAATGCATTGTGCACTATTGGTACGCAAGAGGCATACAATGTGATAGATAGGTATGCATGTTAATATATATATATATTGCAAAATAAAATTTACTCTGCTTTGTTATATTATTATTTTAAAATCATTACATTTTGCACATTATTTAAAACAATTAGTGGATTGCCTCAAGTGCTCATATTATTTAACAAATATCTAATATTACATTCCATAGTAACCATTTTTTAAATCTTGGACAAATTTATTCTAACTTCTAACTTATAACTTAACTTATATGTCTGGACTATTTTAACTTTTTTACTTTTCAATGTTTAGTTAAAGATACAAAATTATTTCACGATTTTCCAAGTTTCGAGCAATATATAATATATTTAAGATCAAAATTACGATAATTTCAGAAAGAGCTTGCGGCAGTTTCTAGTGTCTTTACGAGGGGAAGATGGTTCTTTCTGCATGCATGCTAATGGGGAAGTAGATCTGCGAGGAGTGTACTGCGCCCTTGTTGCTGCGAAATTAACAAACGTGTATACTCCAGACATGTTCAAGGACACAGAAGAATGGATAGCCAAGTGTCAGACGTGGGAGGGTGGGTTTGGAGGTTGTCCAGGGATGGAGGCTCACGGTGGATACGCATACTGTGGCTTAGCGGCGCTCGTGCTTCTTGGAAAAACACATATGTGCCGTTTACCAGCACTCTTGGTAAGAATTACATACATACTACAGAGAGGTTTAGAGTTTCTCATACGATACTGATAAGATCTTTAGCTTTACTGTAGATTACAGTACGTCACTTATTTTTTTTAGAGATGGATAGTGAATAAACAGATGCGTCTGGAGGGTGGTTTCCAAGGACGTACTAATAAATTAGTGGATGGTTGTTACTCGTTCTGGCAAGGTGGAGCATTTCCGTTAATTCATGCTATCTTGTCGAAGGAAGAAAAAATGTTTAATTCCAATTACTGGTTGTTCAATCAAGAGGCCTTACAAGAGTACATATTAGTCTGTTGTCAACACCCACACGGTGGTCTTCTGGATAAACCGGGAAAGTATGACTTGTGTTCATCCATATTAATGATTGTAATATTAGTTGTATTATACAAAGATACAAAAACTTATTTTTTATATATAAATAGATTATGCTAATAACAAAATGTACATTGTGATACCATTGCATTCCTCATCTTTTGTGCTTGTTTCAGAAATCGAGACATATATCATACATGTTATGCTCTCAGTGGATTATCAGTTGCACAAAATTCCCCACAGCCGTCGATCGTTGGATCAAAAGTAACAAATTCAGTGGCGATTATACATCCTGTCTATAATCTGGTAGTCGCCTCGGCTACAAACGCGCTGAAGCACTTCGGTGCCCTACCGATACCTGATTTTAATGCATCTTAGCTATTTTAAAATGTATTATATTTAGGTTTCTTTTTCTAAAATATAAATTTCAATATATTATATAAATTATTCCAAATGTATTCCTATTTAGTAAAATTATAAACATAGAAATTGATATTTTTCAGAAAAAAATTATATGATAAAAAAAAGAAAATTGAATTTTATGTAAATTAAGTGAACTTTGGAAAGAATACATACTATGGATTTGACAATTTGTTAAGAAACTTTTTTTTAATTTTGGAAGAATGTACTATAATAGTGTAATAACAATCGATACCATAAGGTAAATATTTAGTTTAAGAGTTTTAATTAAATATAAAAGCTCTGTGATATTCAATTAAAATATAAAAATAAAAAACCTATAAAAGTCACTGAAAAACATTGGCTTTTATAGGTCCTTTAATTAAGGGTTCCATTTCAAATTTTGATAAAATATTAATCAATTACTTTTCAGTTAACATCTGAAGTTATGTTTATTTTTTATATCTTTATATACATCAATTAACAATTATTTAAACAAATAAATGTAACTATCTTTTCGTTTTGGCTAACAACATTAGCGTTCTTTTATGTAAAAGTATTATAATTTTACTAGTAACATTATTTTACGCAAAATTTTATGCAACTCCGAAATTTAATTTTCAGCTGCGTCGTCCTGCAGGAGTATTACTCGCAATGTCATTATATAAGAGAAAGCTGCTGATACATACTGAAATATGTAAAATAATAACATCAGTATTTTCCTACTTCCACGAGTGTTTTCTAACAAAATACGCTAAATTACAATGAGTTATTCTATATAAAAAAATAATAACTATTCAACTTGTTGAAACACATTAGAACTTTATTAATATTAGAATGTAAAAGATTCATTACAGAGCAATTAAGATTTTACAATTTAGATCTTTAAAAATTTATATTAAACAAAAATGCATATTTTTGATATGCATGTAATGCATTTTCACTTTATTCTGTAATTAATTTCATGTTGAGCAAAGTTCAGAAAACAACAAAGTTAATAATAAAAATAATGCGCACACATATAATGCCTAAAAATAGAACTTAACATGTTAGTGAGACAAATAGCGTGTTCGACTAGCCCTGGGTTAATCGCTTCGAGAGCGATTATTGACGTCATAAATCTTTACTAGCCAATCATAAAGCTTATAAGTACTTGTTCAACTAATCAACGTAAGCTGAATAACCCAGAGTGAGTTAACCCAGAGCCAGTCGAACGTGCTAAAAAATAGCAATAGCTATTTGGGTTGCATTCCAAAACGTTCTTTTTGAGGAAAATTTTACTCAATAGCTATAGTTTATATATACATATACTATACGTTACATATACTATAGAGTAAAATTTCCTCAAAAAGGACGTTTTGGAATGCGACCTTAGATGATCTTTGTCTTACAGAATGTTACAGTTACGCCAAACTAGTATTCACTCTAGTTTGTTATATACTTTATGGTTATAACACGAGTTTGTAGTTCTTGACTGTTCGCGAGAGGTCGTAACATTCTGTGGACGATGTACAGGAAGAATGGCAGAATTCGAAGATCTTACCGACGCGTAATAATGCAAAGATATGGCAGGTAGAAAAGCGGAAACTGAAATGGCCACTGGTATTTGGCTCCTCAGTAAGAGAAAACATATCTTTCTTTGGAAGGTAACACTTTGGTTATACCACAATGAATCATATATTGCTTGTGAAACATCGGTACTCTAGCGAACAATGCATAAATTTCAAAGCGATATAATCGAATAACTATCAAAAATATTAAAAAATATTCTATACCACTATCCTACATCTATTAATTGGAAAAAGGTACTTGTATCATATGATGATATAGTATGATCATATTAAGATCTTATAACAAATCTGAAAAACTATTAGCTCCTCCTACGCCATGCTTGTTTTGTTTACAAATATCACTAAAGGATGCACATACAAGTAAAATCCACGATATTTGCACAAATATAAAAATATTTATAGTATTAATATTTGAAGTATTTTCTTATCATTCTGTGATGTATTGAAGCTAACGTGACTTTCTAGAAAATAACGTTTTAGTATGTGAATATAATTTGCAATAATATAAAACAAAAGAATTACAACTAAGAACAATATTCATTATTGTGTTTTACACAAGTAAGAAAAAATTCTGTAAGAGCATGTCGATAATGATATACCGATAATGATGCATTGATAATGATTATAATATATGTATAAACAATTTCATCTTTCAGGAATATCCAAAAGTTGACACGAACATGGCGCAGTCGAGAAACTTCTGCCACAATCAGGAATAATGCAACAATAAATTTCCAAGAAAAAATGTTACAACAACCTCTCGTAAGACAGTTACTCTATCAAAATACTATAAGCCAGGTATGACATAATTTATCAAGAATATATTTCTGCAAAATATTTGGGATACTTATTTATTCCATCTTATTATATCTACATAATTGTAAACCAAGTTGCCTTTTTCCAGCTATGTAATCTAAAGGAAAATGAACTGAATATCCTAGATAGCACAAAATTCGGAAACACATAAGAGACGCATAAAAGAAGACAGGATGCACTTCTTTCTTTTAGACGTCTTCGAGACGTCTTTCTTCAAGACATCTTTTAGAAGTTTATGCTGTCCAAAATATAACCTACCGCCTCCATCAAGTAATCGGCTGGCCACGCGCACGCGTAGACTTCCAAAAGTGCAGCTGTTGATAGAATGATGAATCGCGATTTGTCTTCTACCGTAGATTGCTGCAAATATATGTACACTGAGATAAGTATGCAAATATTCGTATGAAGTTATGCTTGAATTTCACATGAGGAGTGCATTGTTCTGATCTCCTTTATATATTGATCTTTTATGTATTTTATAATGAGTCTGATACTCACGCCTATAATTGTTAAACCACTGGCTACAAATACCCATGAGCAAACGATTATTATCAATAACATAACTGAGCGAATCGCAGTGATTACCTCTCGAGCATACCTGAAAAATTGATTATTTCATGTTATCCCAAGTATGTATCGTTTAAAAACGTTTCCGAAACGTTTTACAAACGGTCATACAACGTTAGATACGTTTAGAAAGTATATGTGAAACTAATGTGCTACTAAGGATCATTATACAACAGTGTGTCGGAACATGTCAGTCCAGTGTATGTGCGTTATCATTTCCGTTAAGTGATTAAAATATTTAGTCAACATTTGAAACATTCAATCAGAATCATGTTAATTAACATAGATTTCTCTGATCGATTTGTCGTATCTACGCGAGTGTCAGTGCCTGTGTAAGTCTCAGTGCAATGAGGAAATTCATGACGAACAGGAAGCAGAATGCTAGATCGGGAAGACAGGATACGAATAGCGATATATCATATATATGTTTACAGATATATCAAATCCTTTATCATTTTGTAAAGAATCACATAAATTTGGAGTTATTAAATAAATAAAATTCGAAAGCTAACGCAGGCGAATAATTAGTACATTTTTTTAATTAACTAAAAATATCTGCGTGATTATTTACAAAATCGTAGAAGAATTTTTTGTTCAATTTGTGACCTAATCTATACGTACACGAAAGTTTTATATGTAATCGTCAAACACGCAAAGTAAAATGTTTCCATTTTTAACGTATGTTTAACGAATTTGTCGATGATAAAGAAATTCCTGAGTTGGAATTTCGACCGACATTTGTAATTGGTTGTTATTTGACAAATAATTATAGCAAATAATTTGAAATAATATCCAAAACATATTATGCATATGTGTGAAAACGTCCGAAACAACTTATAAGTGCAAAATATATATTGATACACAGTTCTATTACCTCAACAATTTAACATGCTGCCGTATGCATATAATGATTTCACGAGCTCCGTTAACTGCGCGAAATTGTTGGGATAAGATCTCGAAGCGCGCTACGGTGAACCATATGAGAATACCAATGAAACTGCCGTGACAAACATTCGAAAAACACTGCCAAGCAACGATGAACTGTTGCACGAAGATAATGGTCTTGAGCGGTTCATACTCCACATCGAAAGGATACCTTGCTTCTGTTGGAAAAACTTGATCGACCGTTATTAGTGGTATAACTAATGGTATAACCGCGGTGAAAAAAACTGAGAGTGTAGAGGCTGCGTAAAACGGCACGCATTTATTGACGTATCGTTGATACACGTCTTTTTCGTGCGCTTCCGCGCATTCGAAACAATGTTCCATCTCTGAAATTAAATCCTGCAATTTTACACAGTCTTTCGGTTATAGGCTGCATAATATCCAGTTTGTTCAAAAGCAGCAATGTCTTCCACTTTAGGTGAAATCATTACGTTATGCATTGCGTTTGCGATAGTATATAGCCCGATTGACTGCAGGAACAAATACTCAACGCTGGTTGTGTGTAGTATTATAGATTGTTACACCTAAACTAGAAAATAATACTGTTCTTAATTGTACTATCTAAGCTTACGAATAAATTTTAAAATTGTATCAGACACGTCGAATCTGAAAAATAGATAGCTAGGACAATTTTTGCAAAAATACAGCTTTAGTCGCCAAATTACCGGCACAAAACTGACAAGAAAATTGAAGTGTGTTAACCGACAATGATTCAATTAAAATTGTTTTATTAAGTAATTAAAATTATTTAATTAAATCATTGTAAACCTTTATTTAATCTTCAGCACGATATATCGAATAAAATAGGATTGAGGAAACTTATTTAAGATATGGTTTCAAGTTGGTTTCTCTTACTTGCAAACGGTCATATTGTAGAGCGAACAGTGTTACTTCCACAGGGACTTGTACAAAGGCTCCCAATAAGCACCACAGCTTCGTTAGCGTTGCTAAATCATAGTCATTATATAGAGTGTAGTCATCATAAAGAGTGTATATCACAGGCATGATCAATACTACCGCATTTATGCAGAGCAAGAAGCGCAAAGTTTTGAAACGTATAACTTGAAATCTACTAGCGGTCTTTGGAGGAGGCCAGGAAAAGCATAAAAAGATCGTAAGTTTCAAAAATACAACCACTGCTTTTGGAGTTATTTTCCTTGCCATAACTTTATCAATGTAAGAATTCCGGATTCTACATTCGTTCTCGATTGCTTTTTATGTTATGTTTTCTTTGCCGAAGTTACACTCTGTTGCTGGCTTATAATATATAAATATTTAATGTATAATAGCACAATATACCTTGTCATTTGTACGTGTAATAATGTTATGGAAAGAGGTATATAATGTGTTCATTGAATATGTATGCGGCATACACTTTAGACTATTCGACTGTTTCCTCGGCAGTGCATAGTTAAAACTGTTATATTTATTTATAAAGGTATTACGAAAGCTTTAGACGTAAAGTAAAGAGAAATATAGTGATGCATCGACTGTTATGGCAAATTGTTTTGTACTATTATCGTGGATAATACTGACTCTATAATATTCACCTTTATATCATACAGAGAAGCAAAGAATCAGCAAGTAAGTATAGTATTGGAAATCGCCATTTTACGAAAGACGTGGTGTTCACTGTGGTATTGTTTTTATTTGCTATTTCATGTTGAATTCATATTATACAAAATGTATTAAATTGTTTTAAATTAACTGTATTACATTTTTCAAAATGTGTCTGTTTGAATCGCTTGTACTTTCTGTATGTACAAGCTGCGTAGCTTTTCAATTAGACAAATATTATGCTAACTGACAATTTAAAATTTTATATTAAAATTTTTTTCATCATATATTAAGCAATACTTCTATTCATTTTTGCACGTACTTTCATTGCGTAAAAGCATTCGTAATTGTAAACAACTAAGTTAAAGGTTTCACTTAAAATTTTTATAAAATATTAATCGATAATATATATTTAATCAATTACTTTTCAGTTAACATTTGAAGTTATGTTTATTTTTTATATCTTTATATACATCAACTAACAGTTATTTAAACAAATTAATGTAACTATCTTTCCGTTTTGGCTAACAACATATTAGTGTTCTTTTATGTAAAACAGTATTATAATTTCACTAGTAATAACATTATTTTACGTAAAATTTTATGCAACTCCGAAATTTAATTTTCAGCTGCGTCGTCCTGCAGGAATATTACTCGCAATGTCATTATATAAGAGAAAGCTGCTGATACATACTGAAATATGTAAAATAATAACATCAGTGTTTTCCTACTTTCACGAGTGTTTTCCAATAAAGATACGCTAAATTACAATGAGCTACCCAGTAAGTAAGAAATCATTAATATAACGTTACTAGGATGATATTCAAGAACCTGTAATATTGTCAAATATGTATGTTTAATATTGTATCGAACATTATGAACATACTTTGACCGCGATTTGAAATGATGTTGAAATAAGGTTGCCATAATAAGGTTGCCATAAAGGTTGTAATCGTCAGAAATATTTTTAAGATGTTGCATTGATCTCAAATAAATATTAAAGTAACATTTGAAAAATGTTACATTTTTAAACATAATGTTTAAACATAATGTTTTTAAAACGTTTAAACAACATTCAGAAAAATCATCGCAAAATAACATGTGAACAATATAAATACAATATTATTAAAAAATATCCAAACAATGTACATGAAGTCAACGTTTTTAAACGTTAATTTAATGTTCCTTACTTACTAGGTATTCTATATAGGAAATTAATAACCATTGAACTTGTTGAAACGCGTTACAATTTGATTAATATCAGAGTATAAAAAATCTATTACAGAGTACAATTAACGTTTTACAATTAGATCTTTAAAAATTTATGTTAAACAAAAATATAACCCAGCAAACACAATGATATAACAGTTACATCATCGTAATATAACTAAATGTAACGTGCAATATAACATGTTTGTTACATGTAACATGTACGTTAGTTGTAATTTCCCTCAAACGATATTGCAGCTATGTAACAGAAATATAACGTATTACTAAAATGTAATATAGCTGGAATATAAATTATTATTTCCCAGTAATTATAGGTATTTAATTGTACGCAGAGATTATAAGCTATCACTCAATTTAAAATATTAATTAATTTGTAAAATATGCTCCTTAAAATATTATAATCATATATTTTTGTATAAAAAATATTTTTAGTAAAGATAATAACATAAAATATCTTGTCATTTTAAATTAATTAGCTCTCAAATAATACAAGATATTCCAGAATCATCCTAGAGCCATTTTAGAAGTCTAGTGTATGTCCCAGGATGTCCTCAGACATTTTATGTTATTGGAGTTATTTTCACTTATTCATTTCTATCTTTCTGTACATATTCAGATGGAAGGGATTAGTATGGAACACTAATTTCCATTAATCTAAAAGTATATCATTACACCTTACCATAAAAGTGGACTCTTATAGTACAAATTGTACTGTCTTGTGATTATCGTTCTTATATATATTAATACATCATATTTTACGTACGAGAAAGACATGAGAAAATGGAAGCCATCTAGCGATCGATCCTATCCTTATGGCTCCTACACACAGGACGCGGTAATGCTTGCCGCGCGGCGGAAGTTCGCGCGACAGCCAATCAATATGCTGCTTTCCGTAATAATCTTCTAGCTCTTACGGAAAAACAACGTATTGATTGGCTGTCGCGCGGACTTCCGCCGCGCGGCAAGCATTACCGCGTCCTGTATGTAGGAGCCATTACTTCTATGTTATATAATAGTTATATTCTTTGTTTGCTGGGAAATTTATGGTATGCATATAATGCATTTTCATTTAACTCTGTAATTAATTTCACGTTGAGGAAAGTACAGAAAAGCTTAGCAAAGTTAATAGTTTCCATTTTAACTTTTTTTTTTTATGAAAAATAATGCGCACACACATATAATATCCAAAAATAGAACTTAACATGTTAGTGAGACAAAGATAGCGATAGCTAATTAGATGATCGTCTTACAGAATGTTACAGTTTTTGCAAGACAAGTGTTCACTCTAGTTTGTTACATACTCTATGGTTACAAGATTGCAGTTCCTGACTCTTCGCGAGAGATCGTAACATTCTGTGGACGATATACAGGGTGCTTTCCGAAATATCCAAGGTTAGGTGGTTACACGACATTTTCCCGAAAACTAGATGGGAAAGTAGTACCAACAAAAACCCCTAGGCAACAATTCTAATTTCTGCGAATTAGTGACACTATTGAAGTAGCAAGTCCATGAATTTTAAACAATTCCTTCATATTTTCTTTTAGGTGAGGGATCTTACGATACCTTAAAATAGATACGGCACTGAGGTTATCACAGAATTTGCTCAATACGCGTGCGCGAAAATACCGCCGTTACGTTGGTACGTATCTGAACAAGTTCAGATCTGTGATTTTTGGAACGTTGTCTTGAAATCTGCCAAGACCTTATTCATTCATAATTTATTCCTTATAATTTATTCCTAGTACAAATGGTGGGCGAAAATCGTGAGATCGCCCAAACCAACAAGTAAACCTGAACCTGAACTCTGGGTATTTCGGAAGCACCCACAGAAGAATGGAAGATTACGAAGATCTTACCGACGCGTAATAATGCAACGATATGGCTGGTAGAAAAGAGGAAACCGAAATGGCCACTGGTATTTGGCTCCTCAGTAAGAGAAAACATGTCTTTCTTTGGAAGGTAATGCTTTCATTATACCACAATGAATTATATACTGCTTGCGCAACATCGGTACTCTAGCGAACAATGCATAAATTTCAAAGCGATATAATCGAATAACTATCAAAAATATTAAAAAAGGTAATTGTTTAGAAAGGTAATTGTTTAGAAGAGCTACCTCACCTTCGATTTCGATGAAAATAGACTCAATCGATGCGTTTGTGCATGCCAAATAACTTTTTCCTCTGACAAAATCATCGCTCTCTACTGCGAAGCGAGATATTAATAGACAAAGTTGAGGGCGTGTTAGGTTAGAAAATCTGTCATATCTATCT